CTCGCTCAATTTACGCCAATACTATCGTAAATCGATCTAATGTTTCGATTGTATTTTCGACTGTTGATATTGATTTTCATGTGGATTTTAAATATCCCGAAATATTTCGAATAATATGGAAAATTTCGAATCGTGCATTTGAGTATATACTTTTTCAAGGCAATAATTCGATTGAATTTTCTTACAGTTATTGCTATTTGATTTCTCCATAGTTTTTAAATCCGATATTTTTTATACAATAATACTTATTACAACAACCTAATCTCGAAACGAAACAAGCATTTGAGGAGTGCGATTCGCGTGATTTCAACGTCGATATATTTTTCGGCAATTACTGCTATGGATCTCATGACTTTTAATTATTTTTTTTATTGTTATGATTTTTTACGAAATGTAAAGGGAATAATTTGTGATTTCCGACCAAAAAAAAAATGCAAGAATATTACCCGTAATATTAAAATAAAAAAATTTTACCTGTTAATTTTTTTTAAAAAAAGTAGTTTTTTTTTGTCAGCACAGTGTTTTGTTATTTTAAATAAATAACATATATTTTTGGTGTTATTAAAAGTATCTTACAGAAAGATATTAGTGCTGGAGAGTTTTGTCGCGGTTTCAGCGAAAAACTTTTGCCTGAGAGTTCATAACAATGATAAGGATCAATGCTATGAATAATAATAACAATGATAAGGATCATTGCTATGAATAATAACAATGATAAGGATCATTGTTATGAAGAATAATAACAATGATAAGGATCAATGCTATGAATAATGATAACAATGATAAGGATCATTGTTATGAAGAAGAATAACAATGATAAGGATCATTGTTATAATATTAAATGTTAATATTTTCATACGATAGTTTTCTATCATAGAGATGAAGGGAGCATTTTCAAAGTTTTCATTTGAGTTAATTCTCTCTGACACAATCATTTTTATGAAATGCTCACTTTGCAAACCCAATCCCAAAGATTGTTTTACAATCATTTTTGTATCTTGACGATTAACTGATTGTTGGATCAAAATTAAAAATGTTTTCATTTAAAAATTTTATTGATTTGACTCTGATTAGTTTCAAAATATACTTTATTTTATAACTGTCGTTAAACAGCCGATCCAATTTTGGGTTAACGATTACTAATCTTCACTTTCGTAACCTGGTAATTTTGAACCCAAGGCAAAAGACAAGGAAACTTCTGGATCCAGTATCAGGATAAATTTGCCTTCGTGGAGAACTCTTTGAAGGACCAACCTGCATTTGGGTTATATGGAGAGAGAAACCCTCCCACGGTTAACCTGACAGCTAGCGAACACTAACCATCGATCGGTCTACCACTTTGAATATTTTACTACAGCACTGTGGTCGGTGTGAGCTGGGTGCGGAATATGCGTTGTACGGCCATTGCTGAAATAGACTTAAATCGATTTCCATGGCTAAGACTTAATTTCTGATTATTTTTTTGAAAAATCATTTTAGGGGCGGTCATTACGGAATATTAAGCGCTACAAATATTAAATTACTGAAATTATTCTTAACGATCCACATAGGACTTATATGAGAGGCATTCTTTATATTTTTATACCAGATATATACTTCGCCAGAACTGATAAGTATTTACATACGACGACATCTGTAAGATTAACTATAACGTAAATTTTTAAATAAATTTTATCCAATTTTAGAACTTTCTTACCGTTTTTACCATTTTGTCATTCGACTAAAGAGAATATATAATTCTTTCCTTTTCAAGTATTAAATTTAAAATTACATTTTCAAAATCCTATAAAAGAGTATTATCATTCATAGATAGAACAATATTCAAAACTATTCGAAAATATGTCGTAGATTCTATATAATCGCATAAAATTTACTGATGTAAGCAGTTTAAATTCCAAATAAATGTAAAACGATTCTCTGATGTCGTCACAAAGTATAGCTATCTCCTTTCTAACATATACAGAATTTAGTTTTTTTATTCAAAACGTTTTCCATATATGCCCATCAACCCTACATTCTCTAAACGATCGATTTTTACACGATTTTAGACCGTATTTGAATTTAAATAACTTTTATGCAAAAATAATAAAGAATGTGAATATAAATAATTTATTTTTGTCTCTACTCTTTTGTTTCCTTAAAATTAGGGGTTTTTAAGGAGAAATTTGAAACGCAGTTGCGCTGATTTTAAAGTATTGTATTTCAGTTCTCTTCAATGCATTTGTATTTAAAATACAACAAATTGTAAGCTGTGGTATACAATACATTTTCAAAAGTGTTTTTTAAAAAAATTTTTAAGGAAATCAAACTTTGTAATTTAAAGATTAAATTATTTAAAATAAGTGCACATGACGTATAAAATTTCAAACTATAAGCGCACCAATAAAAATCAGAAGATATTATAGGATCATTTTTGTCATTGGACTAACGGCAAAATTTTAAATTCAAAATTACAATTAATTATGGAAATCAAACTTTGTAATATAGTTTTGAAAATTAAATTGTTTAAAATAAGCGCATATGACGTATAAAATTACAAACAAGAAGAGTACCAATAGAAATCAGAAGCTACTACAGGATAATTTTTGTCTCTGGGCTCATGACAAAATTTTAAATTCAAAATTACAATTAATTCTGGAAATCAAACTTTGTAATATCGTTTAGACGATTAAATTGTTTAAAATAAGTGCATATGACGTATAAAATTACAAACAAGAAGAGTACCAATAGAAATCAGAAACTACAACTGGATAATTTGTGTCATTGGGCTCATGACAAGATTTTATATTCAAAATTACAATTAATTATGGAAATCAAACTTTGTAATACAGTTTTGAGAATTAAATTCTTTAAAATAAGCGCATATGACGTATAAAATTACAAACAAGAAGATTACCAATAGAAATCAGAAGCTACTACAAGATAATTTTTGTCACTGGGCTCATGACAAAATTTTAAATTCAAAATTACAATTAATTATGGAAATCGAAATTTGTAATGCAGTTTCGGTGATTAAATTCTTTAAAATAAGTGCATATGACGCATAAAATTACAAACAAGAAGAGTACCAATAGAAATCAGAAGCTACTACAGGATAATTTTTGCCACTGGGCTCATGACAAAATTTTAAATTCAAAATTAAAATTAATTATGGAAATCAAACTTTGTAATATCGCTTCGACGATTAAATTGTTTAAAATAAGTGCATATGACGTATAAAATTACAAACAAGAAGAGTACCAATAGAAATCAGAAGCTACTACAGGCTAATTTTTGTCACTGGGCTCATGACAAAATTTTAAATTCAAAATTACAATTAATTATGGAATTCGAACTTTGTAATATAGTTTCGGTGATTAAATTGTTTAAAATAAGTGCATATAACGTATAAAATTACAAACAAGAAGAGTACCAATAGAAATCAGAAGCTACTACAGGATAATTTTTGTCACTAGGCTCATGACACAATTTTAAATTCAAAATTACAATTAATTATGGAAACCAAACTTTGTAATATCGTTTCGACGATTAAATTGTTTAAAATAAGTGCACATGACGTATAAAATTACAAACAAGAAGAGTACCAATAGAAATCAAAAGCTACTACAGAATCATTTTTGTCATTGACAAATGACAACTGATCATGAAAAATTAATAAATTCAAAATTTCAAATTCAATATTGGGCATTAAATGCAATCAATGTATTTCTACAATAATAGCTTAAAATAGTTTAATGTTTTAAAAACTTAAGAATAACAAAAAATTCAACAATTAAGAGAAAATTATCTTATAAATCTTTACCAAAATGACAAAAAAAAGGATGAGTTTATGTATAAATGCAAAATAAGATGTTTTCGCTCTATCGACCTGATGACTTTTTGATGTTTCTTTGTTTAAGATAACTTTTTCACGTTTCTTTTCGATCTTTAAAGCAAGACATTTCTTAACTATGCTCTATAACTCAGAAGATAGCTTTTTAACAAAAGCATTTCAAGTTACTTTTTTTAAACTTTTAAAATGAAACCATAAAGCATGAGTTTTAGTTATATTTATTTGTTTTGTGTTTTCCTTTTCGTTGCCTTCTACATTAGAATAGAAAATAATGCATATTCATCTTAACAATTTTTAATATTGCTCTCATTGCAAATACATTAGATATTTTACTTTTGAAGGAATCATTAAGAAAATAAACGATTCTATTGATATGTACTATCAGTTAATATCAATGTCCTATGATTGGGGATATTTCAGCACTTTTGGCTGAAATCCAGAGTTTAAACTGGAAGTAATTTTAGAGGAAATCAATTATAATATTTACAATCTAGATTTTGACTAATTAAAGGAATTGGAAACCCATTTCCACTGCAACAAATAGAAAAAAATCTATTCATTATAATGGAAATTCAACAAGGGAAAAAGGCCCCGTCGTCTATTATTAGAAAAACATTTAATGCTTTTTTGTTTTTTTTTAAATGAAAGCTAAAATCATTTTTATCTTTATCAAGATTGGATTTATTACTTATGACATTTTGCTGAGCAGCAAATATTGTTCATCGAAAAGATATTACAAAAGTAATGTTGAAGTTATTGATATGATTATTAATTAAGCTTTTCATTTAAGCCTATCTTTGACAATTAATGTGGGGATAGTAGTTATCGACAATGTCAATCTTCGTCAGTGAAAAGATACCTTACCATAGAGTCGAGTTAACATGTTTTATATACTAGTGAATTGGAATTATATTTTTGTAGTGGTAGATACACTACAGTACTCCCCCAACAAAATTTCATCTGGGATAGAATTCGTGAAACGGGATACCACTGGTTGATTTATTGCTGGTTTGTGAGAAACCGGAAGAGCTTCACGGTCGTGGCCGCTCATGCGTTGCCATTAGCAGTCTAGTCTATACAGGCAGACGTTGTGTGTGATCGAGACTGAGTAACAACAGCGTGAGGAGGTGGATAATGTCACAGTCACAAGTAGCAAGTCAATTGTTCAATGGGGAACATCCATCTTTGTAGGCGTGTTCAAATCGAAGTGGGCGTTTCTGTAGAGGTAGGTGTGTTCACATCACTTCCAAAAGTCACTAAAGTGGTGATAGTAATTATCGCCAATGTCAGCTTTCATCTATAAAAAGGTACCCTAACATAGAATCGAGTTAACTTGCATTATATAGTAGTGAATTGGAATTATACTTTTGTAGTGGTAGATACATTACAATGAATAAAAACGCTGTCGCCATTAAATACTCTTCTACATGGTATTCATAATGTTACTTTTTTCACAATTGTATCTTAAATTTCTGGGCGATTTAATTTAATATCTTATAACTTAAGAAATAATGGTACATTCTAAATATATATATATATATTTACTTTAAATAAAGGAAGTTTCTTTTAGATATTTAAAAAAATACTTTTTTACTGCTCATTTTAAACACTATTTTATTTTAGGTTTGAATTTATATGCAAAACACTTATGAATGTATGCCTTACAATACATGATTATAATTTTGATTAAAGAAAAAAAAATTCATTTAAAAAAAAAAGACAAAATTGATTCGATAAAAAGTCAATTAGAAAAATTTCATATAAAATAATGAAGTTCAACTTTAAAAATTTATTTACGAAGTTTTAATGAATTATAACAAAAATACGTGCCATACTTTCAACAATATTCTAAAGAAATAAAAACTATCCTAAGCAATTTATGAAAAAAGCGGAATTAGAAAAATGAAGTTTTAAAAAAATTAAACTAACAATGATTGTTCATCGCTGTAAAAATATAATTTTAAGAAAGAAATAAAAATAAAGAGCAAAAAAAGTTTGCTTCAAATTCTTTTCATTAGGTACGCGAAAAAATTTTATACGACGCCCTTTAAAAATGTATAACGAACATTTTAGAAGCGTTACAAGTGCGATAAAAACTATTTTCGTGTTCCATCTATTTTAATAAATGAAACTAGTATATTTTAAAGCAAAGACTAAATTATCTTACATGAATAAACAAGAAGTTTTGCCTCATACCATTAACAATAAGTCAACTTAAAATCATACTCATTACACTATTTCATTTTTTTTTTTACCAGAGAAAATAGTTGACTTCAGGAATATTTTTTTTTAAATTTCAACATGAATATTTTGTGAAATTCTGGAAATATTTTTAGTTAAACCTTTAAAAAAACATTTTGAAATACAATCGCTTCTTAACTGTAAACTTCGCATTTCTAATAATAAGCAAGAACAATGCAGATATTTTTTAAACTGTTTCAAGTGTATGATGTAGAAAATACTTTGTTGTACCCGTTTTTATTTTCAAAGATAAATGTAATCCATTGTCGAGAAAAGACTGAATTTTTCTATGTAAAGGCACTACTATTTTTTTTTCATTTGACAGTAATGCAAATTAACTTTTACTATGAAAATTATATCTTAGAAATATGAAAATGATATAAGGCTTGAAAATTTCCATACAACATGCATTTTTATTGAATTACAGAAATTAAAAAATTCTGCTTTCTGAAAAGTACGTTTGAAGTTCGAAGAATGTATATGTTACCGTTAAAGTATATAATGCAGTTATTTCATAGAATACCTAGTTATTCCATGAAATAACTGATCGTGTCCGTTAAAGTGTGTAATATGTTATTAATTTGACACTTTAACTAGTTATTCTATGAAATAACTAGGTATTCTATAAATTAACTAATGAGAGACAGTTAAAGTGTAAAATAAACAATTTATCTAAAATGAAATAACTAGGTATTCTATAAATAAACTAATGATAGACAATTAAAATGAAAAAGAAGCAATTTATCNTATAACTGTAAAAATCCAAAGAACAAGGCAGGTAGGTATTTAGATTCTGAAGAATTGAACAAATCCGAAACTTTTCTCTTAAAATTTGCCCAAAGTGAATATTTAGAAGAATTGAATGCTTTAATGAAAGGTGAGAATGTGAAAGGTAAAAGTAAATTGTCTTCTCTTAATTGTTTTATTGATAAAAAGGGTCTTATACGTGTTGGAGGTCGAATTGTAAATTCAAGTGTTAATGATTATACTAAACATCCAATTGTCCTTCCAGCAAAACATCCCTTAACCTATATGATTGTACATTATTTTCATTTGAAATATTTACATGTCGGAGCACAAACTTTATTGTACTTAATACGTCAAAAATATTGGCCTGTGAACGGCAGAAATTTGTGCAGGTTGGTAATACACAATTGTGTTACGTGCACAAAAAACAAACCAGTTTTAGAGCAACAATTAATGGGTCAGTTACCTAAAGAACGAATCGAACCTTCTCCTCCATTTACCATAACAGGTATTGATTTTTGTGGACCATTTTATATAAAATTTAAAGGACAAAGGAAAGGTGTTTTAAATAAGATATATGTTGCAATTTATGTATGTTTCTGTACTAAATCAATACATTTAGATTTTGTAAGTGACTTAACATCAACAGGGTTTATAGCTAGCTTGAAAAGATTTTTTTCTAGAAGAGGTAAGGCCTCTAAAATTTTCACTGACAATGGACGAAATTTCGTGGGTGCAGACGCTGAACTGAAACGGCTTTTCAAAATTATTAATTCACCAGATGAACCTTTGGCTCAATATTTTGCCGAGGAAAAAATTGATTGGCATTATAACCCCCCAAGATCACCAAATTTTGGAGGATTATATGAAGCCGGCGTTAAATCTTTTAAATTCCACCTAAAACGGATAGCGGGAAACTCCAATTTTACTTTGGAAGAATTCATTACAGTTTTAGCGAAGATTGAAGGAGTATTAAACTCCAGGCCATTGACTCCATTGTCAGCTGATTTCGAAAACTTTGATACCCTAACACCTGGGCATTTTCTTATTGGGAGACCCATCACTTCCATTACAGAACCTCAACTTGCAGATATCAATGAAAATAGACTCAGTAAATGGGAAAAGATTTCTAAAATTTCTCAAAAAATTTGGAGACTTTGGAAGAGAGATTATTTAAGTAATCTCCAAGAACGCCACAAATGGCAGTTCAGTAAAGATAATGTTAAAATTGGAACTTTAGTGTTGGTGAAAGAAGAGAATTTGCCAGCAACTAAATGGTTAACAGGAAGAATTGAGGAAATATTTAGGGGAAGTGATGGGAAGGTAAGAGTTGTAAATATACGTTTGCCACAAGGCAATATACTTAAAAGATCAGTACGCAACATTTGTATTTTACCTATATATTAATTCTTGTGTTAAAATTTTCATTATAATTGTAAGGTTGAAATTACGTGTATGTATATTTGATGTTTTGTATGAATATTGTCAATTTTTCATTTTATTTTATTATGTAATAAGCATTGTAATTAATAATGATTGGATTTAAACATCCAATCGGCGGGGAGTGTTAAGAATTGCCANTATTATTAAATTTTACATTAAATTACCTTCAATTTGATATGTAAACGTTTGTATTTAAGTGAAAATTAATATATTCTACAAGCACACAAAGTTGAAAAACATGCAACTTTCAAAAAGTGTCCACACTTTTGGCCACCACTGTATATATACCCGTTTCAACCCTTTGGAATTGTCGGTGCATCTAATTCATTAATTCATGTATATATATGCTGCACGTACCACAACCCTGTATTAGACAGTGATAACACGTTGAATGCCACGCTAATTTTACATGACTTGCCCGTTTCGCCAAACAGTAAATAACTACAAACTAAATTTGCAAATATTAGACAGATTTTGCTAATTTTTTAAAAGGTTTAGCATGACATAACAGAAAAATGTGGTGAATTTTATAAGCCTACGAATTGTTTAGAAATAATGGTGGATAAAAATATACCAAATTGAATTTATTAAACCGAGAATTACAAAAAGAATAAAAAAACTTAACTAATAAACTACCACTTGAAAATATTTATTCGCTGTCCGGAGCAAGTTGGCATATCTATATATAGAAATAAAGCTATTTTTGTGTGTTCTAAATTGCATTGAGTTCATCAAACCATTTTAGTAACGATAATAATATGAAAAAATTAAAAATTGTCTCGAATTATGTGTTTCTAATAATCTTGGCTTCGACGGTCACTGGTGACTTCCTTGGCGGTACGAACAAACTCAGTGCCAGTCACCGGTGACCCCCATGGCATTCAACGTGTTAAGTTACTTATTATCATGTTAATATTGTTTATTTCATGATGATCTTAGAACAAGTAACGCTGCGCCATTTTAACGCTGTTTACTTCGTTTAAAAAAAAGGCTAAGGATAATCCAATCACCATCTCTTTCTTCATTTTTAATTGAAGAAATTTATAATTTTTTTTTACAAACTGTTATTTTTTTTTTACAAAATTTTAATTTCATCATATTTATAGCACTTGAAAAGAAGAGTGCTAAATTGTTACTACTTTTTTTAAGGTGCTGTTTCCTTTCCTCTATTAAAGTTTTGCAAATGGCTGGAACAAGAAAAAAACAAGAATCGCTTTTTCTTGTGTAATTTGAAGACTTCAAAATTTATAGATCTTAAAACNATTGTTTAGAAATTATGGTGGATAAAAATATACCAAATTGAATTTATTAAACCAAGAATCACAATTAATAAACTACCACTTGAAAATATTTATTCGCTGTCCGGAGCAAGTTGGCATATCTGTATATAGAAATAAAACTATTTTTGTGTGTTCTAAATTGCATTGAATTCTTCAAACCATTTTAGTAACGATAATAATATGAAAAAATTAAAAATTGTCTCGAATTATGTGTTTCTAATAATCTTGGCTTCGCCGGTCACCGGTGACCCCCGTGTCGCTACAAACAAACTCAGTGCAGGTTACCGGTGACCTCAATGGCATTCACCGTGCTAAGGAAATATTTTCATTCAAATACGAACATGCTGCATGTCACACAATTTCATTTATTCACTTTCGGGAAACAATTTTAACGTATTATTTATGTTACATACAAAAAACACAAAAATATAAAATCGAATTTGAGAAAATTTTGTCTGACTAAAGCTGTCCTAAAGGATACATAAATTCCCTCTGACAAATTTTTTCTTCATATGACAAAATTAGAACGTAGAGCTGTAACACATAAATTTAGTTTATTTCATTTTAATGTTACTTTCAAAACTACTTCTCCTAAAAAATAACGCTGCTAAAAATAATTTGTTTCGAGCAGTGTAATTTTGGTTCGTTCATTTTTTTTTACATTATCGATTAAATTAAAATAGAATATACTAATAAAATAGAATATACTTTTAATAAATTAAAATCGAATGTGAGCACAATTCTGTATTGTATAGGATAAATGCGAATTGAAGAAAAAAATCTTTTTTTATAATTTCTCTAAAGCAATTTAGTAAAATAAAAAAATTGTCGGTATTTTTACCTGCCGTTAAAGTATGTACAAAAAAAACTATTAAACGTAAAGCAATTTATGAATCCATAATAATTGACACGTGTGACCGGTCGGTAGCTCAGAGTTAATGACAAAAAGCACGCCTAAAAGTAATAATATTATTCACTTTCAATTTTCAAATAATATAAAGTGCGCTATTCCGATCTCATGCTACGTTTTTACTGACTAACGTGATGCATTTCTATTGGACGATGCCCAAATAAATGAAATAAAATGACAAAGTTTTTTTATTCTTTTAAAAGTCTTTTTTTTTTTCATTNTTAATTTTTTTTTTTTTTTTTTAGCTTTTTCGAAGTAATAAAAATCTACTTTCCTGATTTAGATTCTCAGGATGTTTCATTATACTACATTTTTTTTTCCAAATAAATATTTCAACTCAAAATCACTACATAAACAATTTAGAATGGCAGCGATGTTTCTGCGAAATTGTTTTTTTCCTGCTTTTTTTGTCGTACAAAATATTCTTTTTATATTATTTTGTTATTGCATTTTTTGTCGTTTTGTCGTAATACTTTCTGAGTTTAATTTTGTAAATAATAAAAAGATAAGGATCGACTAAATATATTTTTTTAAAGTATAGATTGGCAATGTTAAAGTGTTCAAAATCCCATTATAATATCGAAATATTCTTTTATTACGTAAAATATTATTTATTAATAAAATTATATAAAATATTATTATACAAAATTTATAATGTATTTAAAATATTCTTTTTTATATTTTTTATTTTATTATTGCATTCTTCATTGTTTTGTCGTATTACTTTCAGAGTTTAATTTTTTAAATAATAAAAAGATAAGGATCGACTCAATATCTTCTATTTTTTTAAGTGTAGATTGGAATTGTTAAAGTATTCAAAACCCCATTAAAATATCGAAATACTTTTTCATTATATAAAATAATATTTATTAATAAAAAAATTTAAAATATTATATTTCATATAACAATAATTTATTACAAAAAATATTATATAAAATTTATTATGTGCATGAAATATTCTTTCTTGCATTTTTTATTTTATTTTATTATTGTAATTTTTGTTGTTGTGTCGTAATACTTTCCGAATTTAATTTTGTAAATAATAAAAAGATAAGGATTGACTAAATATCTTTTTTTAAAGTACAGTTTGGCAATGTTAAAGTGTTCAAAATCCCAATAAAATAGCTAATTGCTCTTTTATTATATAAAATATTATTCATTAATAAAATATTATATTTTGTATAATAATAATTTATTACATAAAATATTATAAAAAAGAATGATTTATGCGTATAATAATTTTTATTTTATTTTATTATTGCATTTGTCGTAAAAATTTTTGAGTTTAATTTTGTAAGTAATAAAAAGATGAAGAACTACTAAATATCTTTTTTTTAAAGTACAGATTGGCAATGTTAAAGTGTTCAAAATCCTATTTAAATATCGAAATATTCTTTTATTACATAAAATATTATTTATTAATAAAACAATATAAATATTATATTATTTTATATAGCAATAATTTATTATATAAAATTTATTATATATATAAAATATTCTTTATATTTTTTTAATTTATTTTATTATTGAATTTTTTGTTGTTTTGTCGTATTACTTTCAAAGTTTAATTTTGTTAATAATGAAAAGATAAGGATCGACTAAATATCTTTTTATTAAAGTACAGATTAGCAATGTTAAATAGTTCTAAATCCCATTAAAATATCGAAATATAGTGTTATTAAAACTGAGCAGCACAATCATTATGCTAAAAAAAATAAAGCATATTTTATATTAAAAATATCTAAAAAATATAATCCTATAAGCCATTGTAATCCTATAAGCCATAAACTGTTTAAAACATTAGTATTATTTTTACTCAACTTTTCTATGAATCTTTCTTTAATTAATCTTCTAAATAAAATTTAATCATAGGAGAATTTTCTTTAAGATTAACTTAAATTAAATCTTTTTAAGTCTTGAATCTTTTCTCAATCTTGGTCAATCTCTTTAATTTAAACTTTTTTTGATATCCTATCAAAAACCATAACCATTTTTTTTTCAGTTAAAAATAAATTAAAAATTTTAGCCTATCGGTTATAAATGTATCGATGGAGCAAAGTTGTCTGGATAATATTATCTTAATCGGTTTAAGAACAAAAAATGGTATCGAGGTTTAGAAAAATGGCTATGTTAAACAAAACAAAAAATCGCTTGTGGCGCCACCTGATGAGAAAAGAGTTGGTATATTTAACTTAAAAATCGCACAAGTTAGGTGTGGGGTGATGTATTAAGTTGCAGTGCATCATTGATTAGTAATATTTTGTAGATATTATGCTACGAAAAGAATACTTTAAACTTTTTTTTAATTCACACAAGAATTTTTTTTCTACCTCTGTTCCAAAGAAACACTAACGTAAAATGCATAATTTCATTTATTCATTTAAATTACCTTATTTTCTTATATGATTATTGTGGGGAGAGAACCTATAGACAATGCCAACTTTCATCTATGAAAAGGTACACCATCATAGAACCAAGTTAACATATCTTATATACTAGTGAATTGGAATTGTATTTTTGTAGTGGGAGACACACTACAGTACTGCCCCACTATAATTATATCTCTGATAGAATACGATTAACGAATACAACTTGTTAATTCATCGCTGTTTTGTGAAAAGCCGGGAGATATATATTAAGATCACTGAACATTTCTGCAAATCGTGAGAGCTGTATTAAGTTCACGATAGTGATTGCTACTGTGTTGCCTTTAGCAGACGAGTGTATACAGGCTGACGTTGTGTGTGATCGAGACTGAGTAGCAACAGCTCGAGGAGGCGGATAATGTCTTAGTCACAAGTAACAAGTCAACTGTTCAATGTGGAGTATCCGTA